GAAGGTGGCAAGTCAAAATGACTGCATGGAAGGTTGATGACAAAACCTGGTGTGATAGATACCAGGTCAACAACCAAAGGTCTGACCCAGCCTCTGCATAGGCATGGGTTGTACACCCTGCCCCAGGTCTTTTTTGTTTGCCCGCCAAATTTGGTAAGAAGCAATTAGGCCGGGGAGTGCCTTAGCACTTGCTCGGGGTAGGGTACTCCCCACTCAGGTGAAAACCCAACCCTCATGTGCCGCAATCGGTGACAGAAGTCATGTTTCCCTGTCTGGAGTCGTGAGAGGCAAACAACACACACCAATCGCGCAGAGCACAGTGAGAAGTTTCTTGTTATGTTTATTTGGCTCAAACAGCGATCCTCTCTACGTGAGCTCTCTGCTCTTGGAGGGAGGGTGGGAGAGCTTGAACACCTTGGACGTTGTCGTATATATATATATATATATTTTTTGTTTGTGCCTGCTCATATATTGTTAATTATATGAGTGGAACCAATACCAATGTGTGTGTATGATTCGTTGTTTCCTTTTTTCTCACAGCACTTCCCCAAGCCTCTTGCCGAGGAAGTCACCGAAGAGGTGCAGCGTCGGGCACAGCTTGAGGTAGTGATGCAGGCTTTGGAGGAGGTCAGTGCTCCAGCGAGAAGGGGGAGAGAGAGAGAGAACCGAGTGCGGCAACATGACACCGAATTGATCCGCATTGTATCGCATTGTTGTTGTTTGTTGTTCAACATGAACACCGCTGTGCTGGTTCGTAAATGAGCTGGCAACCGCCAAAACGTGACGATAGACCGCCCTCAAAAGCGAGAATCATGCCGTCGTAGTTTTTGGAACGCCATGCTGAAAAGCGATAACCTTGCTGAAACATATCCTTTTCTTTTCTGGACCTTCTGGCAGACACTCACATATTCAGCATAAGCTCAATGTGTTCACGTGTTTGACTTGGGAACTCGACTTTGAGGGTGGTCTACTCAAGTTCGTTTTGTATGTGTATAATGTTGGTGAGTTTGTCGTCGTTTTTTGCTCTTGCAGAGATTCTGTTCCGTTGCAGGAGCTTCGAGGGGCAAGGAATGATCTGAAGGTGGTACTTCGGATTCTGCTGCACGCTGCAATTTACATCAATTTGCAAATGCCGTTGTCGGTTGTTATGTATGATGTATTGTATTATATGTATGTATTTTTTTCATGTCTACTCAGCCAGGCGGCTCAGCAGCGTGCAGACCAGTGGCGCAGATTGAAGGACACCTTTGTTTCTCAAGCTTCAGCATGCGCTGGAAAGTTCCTGGTCGAAAGCAATTACAGCTCAAGAATTCCAATCATCTCAGGATGACAAAGAAAGGGAGCTTTTTGCACAAATCCGGAAGCGGGAGGATGCTGAGCGGGAGGTCTTGAGCTATGATGGGTTTATTTTTAAAGTTCTGCTGATGCACAAGCCAAGCAAGAGCAGACAGCGGTAGAGCGGCAAGGGTCGAGCGGCAAGTGCTCACCTTTTGGTCCAGGCATCATTCCTGCGACAGTCTGCATGGCTAGCTGATCGTACTGCTAGAGAGCTAGGTCCTGAGCGAGCATTCTTTTTGGCCACCATGTTTGCATTGTCCTGTGGAAGTGGTGTTGGGAGGAAAATTCGACTTGGATTGGACTTGTTCACGCGCTTGCTGAGGAATGTTGCATTGAAGAAGGAGCTCCAAAAAGCGGAGGCTAGACTAGACCACCACTGTGAGAGTCTGATAGCAACTCATTTCGTCAAGCGGGCTCAAATTCCAAGGCAGTCGCTGCGACATGTGGAGCATCGGCACTGGCCAGACAGATTGCTGAGCGCCTGGGCTGCTTTGACGAGGTGGAAAACATTTGTTTGGTTTGTTGCATTCTCATTGTTGCTACCGCAAAGCTGCCACCAAGGATGGAATGCAGCCCGCTGCGGCCCCTTGACTTTCCTAAACAAATCCAGCAACGGACAGGGTTCAGGATCAAACGGCCTGTAGGGCAGTGTGACCGCTTCAAACTGCCTTCTAAGGTGCTGTCGTGGAGAAATAAGACCTGCAGTGAAGATACTTCTTTGCATGGGACAAAGATGGAATGTAGACAGGCCCACGCCCACAGCCCCATACACCGGCCGACAACACCCAGCGTATGCGTTGGTTTGCCAGTTCATTTGGTTTCATATGGGCGTTCTCAGACCATGCCTGCTTGCACATAGAGTTGTGACTTATGACTTCCAAATGAGTGACAGAAGCATGCAGCATGCATGTAAAACATAATGTGTATATATATATATATACATTTTGTGTTATGGTTTGGATATGATTTGCCGCTGTGGTCGTGTTATTATGGTTATGGTCTCTCAAGATGGTGGTTTTCGACGTTTTTTTTGGTTATGGTTCTGATATCATGTTGAGTCTTGAGAGTGTTTTTGTAATGGCTTGCACAGTCCAGCCACCATGCCCCTTTTTCCCCCATGAGGGAACCACTTTTGCCGTTGGGTAGCCTTTCCAGGAGGCTTTGGGTACTTTGGAACCTGCCAGCATCCCTCGAAAAAGGAAAGTCATGCTAAATTCATATCAAAACCGCAAGTTACACTTTTCTTATGGTGTTCTTGTGGTTTTAGGCCGCCCCCAAAACGATAAAAATTGCATCAAGTTCTTAACAAAATGCATAACTACATTTTTGCACCATATTTGTCCATAACCTTCAACCATACTAAAATCATAGCAACACTGAAAAAAGTGAACGGGCCTCTGACTTATTATGGAAGCCTTAAACACAAATCACAAATATAAAACACAAAACACACATACCATATACTATTAACAAAAACACTAAATTTCACTAAATACACTATAAACACAAATCACCGTACGAACTGTGTGCATTGATTCAGTGCGTGTCCTCGAAGTTTTTTGGTTTCTGTCATGTTTGTTGTTCGAATGTCTCCCCATCATGGACAAGCCTCTCATCCAAGGAAGAAGTTGATGATGTTGCTTGTCACATTTGATGTGATTTGCAGGTCTCAATTTAAGTGTTGTAATACTGTTATTTGTAGAACGGGCTGAAATATCTAGAATCTAGAGCTGTAAGATGTTGACAACAATCCTGACCCCATGCTGAGGAAGTGGCATCCAGACAAACAGCCAACTGCAGAGCACGTGGACTTTGCCCGAGTTGTTCAGATTGATGCAAAACCCCGAAGGAAATTGTGGCATGCCACATTCTGCAGACATTACCAAATATTTGGTTAGAAGTTACAATGTGTTGCATGACGTCGGTAATGCGCCACAGCTTGGAGTACGCAACACGATGCAACATGTACGTTGATGTTCATAACAATGCGACCGAGGAATTTGCAACACAGGTGATGCAAGCCCTGCAAAACCAGCCTGAGTGGGAGATGTGACCTTGACTTGTTCTTTCTGTGAAGGTTTTGACAGAACAAAACTCACTGAGTTCAATTCTGATAGGATTTCACTTTAGTCATCGGCACATACCCAACGCTGTTTGAGTCATCACGGGACGTGACTTTGCAAGCGCCGAGCTTGCCAGACCTGGAATACGATCACATACGATCGCGTTAACCGTTAATGCCTTGCATAGAGCTGTTGCTTCGTGGGGGAACCTCACGACAACAGAGGGCTATGCCATGGGCTGCAGTTGCAGCGACTGTTCATAGGATGAGTTTGCCGCTTGCGGTCCAAACTGCTGTGCTGGTGGCAGCCTTTCCAGATTCTTGCAGACCGAGACCACCGAGACCTACTACATTGTCAGTCTTGTCAGTCTAGCCAAGGCAGCGTGAGACACATGTTGCTGCCGGTTGCCAGTTCAAGACATTTCAAGACCCTTTTTTAATGAATTTAGCTTCCGAAACGACGTAAGCTTGGCAGCCCTTAGCAGTTGGCATAGTGAGACAATGTGAGACATATAATAACAATTAGTATATTATATTATATATTAGTATCCATTCTACATATTCCACCGAATCACCTTTGAACTGCGAACACCCCAGACGTCTTGAGAGCATGTTTCATGACACGCAGCTTCAACCAAAACGGCTTGTAAGATAAAATGTTTCAACTGGTTCAACTGGGTTCAGACTTGCAGCTGTCCATGGTACTGGTAGCTCAACAAAAAGAACATCAAGGCAGCTCTCTTTACAAACCGAGCCTTCCGCAATGAACGCTGCCACGGGCACCTGGCAGTTACGCCGGATCATAATCCGTGGCTCGGAGCTGCAATGTGTGAAATCTGTTTCGGCAACACATTTGACATGAAACCCAGATGTGTTAATACTTGTTTTCAGTGTTCTTGTTTGTTTTCTATACTGCGGATTGAGGCTATTCCGAAACCGGTGGTAGTAGCCTCGGAACTCGCTTCTATTTGCGGCATTTGCTGCCTGTGTGGAAGGACCCTAGAAGCATTTGCCTTATTGCGGTTGAAGCATGCTAAAGCGGTTGTGAGCTAGGTGAGAGGTGACAACATGTGACAACCCAAGGATAGAACATGATGGATCCCATTGGAAACCTACTGGCTGCAGGAGAGAAACCCGCAGGTCTTGGTGGTTACTGAGCACTCGCAGCTTGATCACCCGGAGTTGCAGGCTGGCTGGAAGCAGCGCGAACCATTGGCACCCTTGTCAGGATATCGGATAGCGTATGATAGCGTCATTTTTTTGCCAAAGCCTTTGAAACATCCACAACGTGAGGGAAGTAATTACGATACCAGTTTACCAGTAAGGACCATGGTTGAACTCAGCCCCAAGTCTAGCATCGTTGGATGTCCTCCCTGCAAGCTTTTGCTGCTACACTGGTTCAACAAAGGTAGTCTTGCACATTGAAGATGCTGATGGTCACACATGATTTGCAATGATGTAATATTATTACTCATGACCTCATGCGCGGTTCCGCTGCTCGGTTGGTCATGGTTGGTCGATGTTGGAACGCCAGTTGAGAGATTTCCAAGTGCACGGGTCTAGAATTGAATCAGGATTGCTACGTTTTTCTCTCACTGTAACAGGTCATCATTGAAATTGACTTGATGTTCAGGGTTTGAAGCATTCTGACTCAGCAATTAGAGTCAGAGGCACCAAGGCCAAACCAACAAGGGCCTATAAGGGCCTAGGGTTTTATGTGTCATCATTCAGAGTTCAGCAAGGCCGAATGGACCAGTGGCGAGCGCTTCGAGATTTCCCTCAGAAAGATGCGACCTCGCCAGATCGAGGAGAGGTGGAGAGCGTCAGAGCCTGTCCAACAGGGGAGAGGTATGTCAACCCCTTCTTGCGATGCTACTGGGATGCATTTGAGGGGCTATCGGCTATCAAGCTTGTTGGCTGTAACCACGCACGACTTCAGCAGATGCATTATTCAGAAAGCTACGCACCCAAACAAATGGGAGAGGAGGAGGAAAACCTGAGGCATTATTTAGCACGAAAAAAGAAGGGACAGGCTTGGAAAAATAGATGCCAAGACCACCTTACGCCTCTGCCCTAGTTGGTTCCCAACAAAGGAACAGAACATGGTGGCACGAAACATGGCACGAGTATATACATCCGGGCACCGAGCCAAGCACGAAGCTGAACCTGAAGAACTTACCACAGTTCATGCAGATTCTATTCTTGGTTTTGGGCTTCTTTGTTCCCACTCCCCACCCTTCTTAGGCTTCATTCATGTAAGGGCAACTATATTATTATCGCATTTTGAAGTCCAAACGGTTGTGCTGCATCAGGTGTGGTACTTGTACATGTTGTACTCATCATTGATCAAGTTCCTCCTTGCGAGACTCAACCGAAGAAACTTGTATTTTACATGGTTTTTGGAGCTATAATATTAGAAAGCCTTGAGTAAAGGATGCCACTGGCTGCGCTTGCCAGGACTTGATGAATCTCCAAAGAAATTCGGAGTCTCCAAACTTGTATTTGCGCCATGGAGGGCCGCGTGTTTGGACCGAGCGGCGGAGTGTGCAAGGGCTGTGGCAACCTTCAGCAGAATTGATGTTCAAGGTGGGCCATGGCACGTTGCGCAGCGTTGTGTTCTCGTTTTTTCGGCTCAATGATTCCCCTTAGGGAGGCCATCGCTAATAGGTTGGAGGCCATTGCTAGTAGCTTCCTTAGAGTCTGTTTTCCTTTGGGTCTTTGGGTGTGAACCGGCCTTGTGTCCATCAGGTCTTGAAGTTTGCACGACAACCTTCTTGGAGTGGAGCCGGCAAGGAGGAGCTGAAGCACCGTGGCCACTCAAAAGGAACCTGATGTGCATGAGCTGACATATAGTTGACATACTACTGTACTAGTATGCTTATATAGTATGTTAGAAAGTCACAGGTGCAACGTAACGAATATATTACTATATAATAACTTGCCGAATTGAATTGAAGCCTGTTTCGGAGGTATTCATCGCAAACCATCAAGCTTTGCAAGCAGCACCTCTTGGAAAAGCGGGGTCGTTGGGGTGATCAGTCCCAACCAAAGGGCTTTGACCGGCACCTTTTAGAGGACTGCCACTGCAAAACTACAGAAGACTTGCATGATTAGGCATAAGTTGAGGACAGGTTTGCTTGAATGTGAGAGGATGTGCTCAACCAGCCATTCCTATCAGACGCCCCACATCAGAACCACTTGAACGACGAGTGAAACAGCCCGTTGAATTTAGCCATTCAGCTCCCAAAGAGGTGTGAACACAGCTAGGGTTTCACAGACCGAGCCTTTGCAGAGAATTGCCAAGTTGCTTGACAAATCCAAGGCATCCGAGACATGGTTCCAAAGCAGCGGCTGAAATTCAGCAATTCTAATTCAAACGGCATGAAGTGGTGGATTGCCACATTTGTTTGATTTAGACTTAGACATGTTTTGTTGTTTTGTTTGTTACTGTGCTACTTGTTGCGTAATTTCGGTGGAAGTCTTAATTTTAGGTTACGGAAAGGTTTCCTTCTTGTAACCCTCCTCCTTGAAACTTCGAAGGGGCTCGATTGCGGAACACGTGGTTTCTGAAGGACATCGATGGGCACCAGACAGGCTGTCCAGAGGCCCTTGCCAAACTTGACATTTGCATTGTAAGACAGTTGTGTTGTTTAACTTGGGTTTGACTAGGAGGACAGCCTCAGAGGCATGCAATTGTAAGCTCAGGCAGATAAAGTTTGTCGGCGATTGCGTTATGCCCCCAGTTTTGTATGGCAATTGCTGATTTGGTCGCTAATAACGAACCATCATTCATAAACGCGAACTACGAGCCATGATAAATGCATATTCCGAAGATAGATAGAGAGTGCCAACGTTGCGGCTGAATAAACTAGACTAGACCATGCAACAAGCGAGATGAAGAGACAATACCGTACTTCTGGTATCCCAAGCTCCAGTTTTGTTATTCTCCACCACAACTTATGTGATCTTATGTGGACAATGGACAAGCAAGTTATATAGTCATGAAACAAACTTTGCAGATCCAAGCTAACATCAGGGTTTTGCACACCCCCTTAATGAACTTTCTCAGTTTTGGGTATGCTGTTAGGGTGGAGGCGTGCTTGTGAAGTTCAAACTTTTTGTTTACTTATGTCCCAAAGGAGTAGGGTCATAGTTCTAGCCACAAAATGGGTCCGTGCTGTCCATCATCGTCTAACTCTATCTATATACGGTAAATCATATAATATGCAACCTGTGTGGCCGTCACAGGTTTGGTGCCCAGGAAACTGAATTGTGACTTGCAGCAAGGCCGTTTCGGCTTTCCCAGGGTCGTCCGCCCATGGGATATGTTCCATTGTAGCTGCTGAGGACACTTTATTCTGGTATCATTCTTTCTTCTTGGTCCTTCTGATCCTTTTGTGACAGAGCAATTCTTCGCGCAGGATAGAGAATGGGGAGTGTTTTGCTCTTCCTCAGCTGTGTTGTTCGCACCTCAGGACTTTAATGAGCTCTTGTGAGTTTGCTGTACGGAACTAGATGCTTTGGAAGTGGTGTTGACAGGTGCTTGCAGTGAGCAAGGCCACACGAACAGCATTTGAGCTTCTCGATGAAGAGGCGCTGACCAGAGATGAAAGTGATAAACCTCTCAGTCGACCGCTTGAAATATTTGACGCATACTGTCATTTTGTTTAAACGTGAGTGCGCAGACAGCCCTGCAGGAAAATGATCTAGTGCAGCGCAGGCAAGATTTCGATGACTGGTGCAAGAAGGAACTGAGCAACCAGGACTTGAAGTCATATTGAGGTCATGTACAAAGGAATCAAAGGTGCTATGGGGGAGGAGTGTGTGCATGTAGCAACCACGCCAGGAGAAACTGCGACAAGAACTGTTGCAACTTCAAGAGGATTCAGAGATCGAAATTCCAGGTGAATTTGAGGTCTCGACGGTTTTGTAATCCATGTGCACAAGTCAGCTTCCTGTAAGACTGTAAGACCTTTCCAAGCTGCCAGGTGCCTGGAAAGTTATTGGAGATTGCCAGGCAGCTGAAGCCAAACCCACCAGAGCTGAAAATGGCCGATCTCACTGTGAAGACTCTGAGAGCGGTCGAGATTCTTGACTAACCTCAAGATCCATCGAACCATTTTCCACCTCCTGTTTCATGTGATATTCCTACGATATGGCTACTTTGACTGAAGCCAATCGCCCTAAAACCTGCGCTAAGCAAAGCAATTGTGGTCTCGCAGTGTTGCTTTTGTGTTGGGGAGACATCAGATTCACTTGGTATTTTCTTGTTCTCCAGGCTTGAGAAATTGATTACTGTAGATAATGCTTAGGGGCCATGTCAACTTGTTTGCTTGTCCTTCGGTACGTACTTTGCTTCGCTACCTAGGACCGACTTGGCTCGCTCACAGACTCTTTTTTTTGGAGAGACGCGAGGGATGCATGCATTGCAAAAGCTGTTGCGAGAAGCCAGCGACAGGATGACACTTGTATGCAGAGACACTGGCCACAGCTGAGTGCATTCGCTCATAGAGCATCATCATTCACATCATGAAAACCGATGGGACTTGACAAATGTTGACAGCCTGCTCGGTGACATAGCCAAATAGATCCAAGTAGTTCCTTGCTTGGCACTTTTTCTGTGTCCATCAGGAAGGGTCTCTCATTGGGTGATACGAGCCGCGCATCCTTGACAGTTCAATTGGAGACACTCAAGGCCGTTCAAGTAGTGGCGTTGGGCGGCCGGTTTTCTTTAATCAGTATAGTGCATTAGCGTGCATTAGCTTGCCAATGTGATGGTCAGGTTTTGTAGTTCTGGGGGTCCTGCTTTTGATTTCTCACCATTCATGCAAGTCGGGATGAGACTCTACACTGAGACCATACTGCATGGGTGGAGGCTAAGGACTGCTTCCAGATACTCGCACATCAGATACTAGCATTTCTGACGAGAGATTCTCACTCACACACACACACTTGCCCAGGCAGCACAAATGCATTCTGATTAAAACAGTGCCAAGGCATTCAAGAGTGTTTGCAATTGTTCGCAGTTCGCCGGTTGCAGTTTATCCGAGTCATACTACATTGCAATACCAATCCCAACATTTTGCCAGGCCGAGCAAAAAAGTGCCAGCGAGCAGCTTGCTGCGCGACATGCAAAGTCAATTGCTTTGCGCAGCGGTCGAAAGGTAGGGAGTAGCACATGGCCATACCCATCGATTGATGGTTTTGTTGAGTGTACAGTTTGGCATGACTGGATAAGTTTTGCTTGTCTTGTGTGGCAGGTCTTAGGCACGGCCCTGGCACAAACACGAGCATCTCTAGTGGAGGCTGCCGGGCTTTGCATCTAGGCTGACTTTCATCTGAGTGTGTTTTGTGCTTTAGAGATTCACGGGATTTGAGGGTCAACCTTTGGCTGCTTGAAGAGGGTGGGACAGGAGGGAGTGAGAGAAGGGAGCGAATGACAGCGATCTAGATCGTTGAATTGAGGTGGCCTGGGCCGCACTGTTCTTAACAGGAGCGAGTCAACAGGGAAGATGCTTTCGAGAAAAGCTTTAGAACTTATAGGTATGGTGGAGGGCTCAGCAGATGCTACTGGTAGCAGCTCAAGAGCGCCGGGTACAAAGCCTTTGGTGGAGCAGTCAACAGAACTGCCGCGCAAACAAGCTGAAAATCTAGACGTGCAAGCAGTGTCGGGCCCTCTCTTGGCGTTGTCACGGCAGCTCCAGCTCCAACAACAGCACATACAAGATCAGCTGGACGAGTTGAAGCAAATGAAGCGCCAAGAGTTGGCACCTGTGATACCCGTTGTACCATCTATGCCAATGGCAACGGCTGCCACAGAAGTGGCCTCCCAGGCACCGAAGATGCAGGAGAGTGGCCAGTTGGATTCCAACGAGCCGCTCGCTTCCAGCAAGCCAAGACTCAAACATGCCAAAGTGCCACTAGCTTCATTAGCCTTAGCCACAGAGAATGTGGCAGCTAAAGAGGCTGCATCAGGTTCATCATCTGCAGGAACTATCCTAACTCCAAAAACCGAGTCAAAAGTCGCGGAGGACCCAACACTCTTACAGGCTCCGAAAGACTTTCCTGCTGCATTGCGGGGCGGTTGGCAAGCGCTTTTGGCTCAGAAGCGCGTTGAAAGCAGGAAAAAGCCAGCAAGAGGTGAAGAATCTTCTTCCATTATGGAGCTCATGCAGACACCCAAGACTTATACCGCGTGGTCCCGGGCTTAGTCCTCGGTTAAACTTTCTTTTGAGACAGTTCAATCAATTATTTGTTATCAAAGCTTGAATCGAAGACAGAAACTGAGGCAACCCGATTCGGGCCCATCTCAGCCTGCTGGGAAGGCAAAAGAGGATTTGCTCGCAGCAGAGAGGGCATTTGATGAAGAGGATGATGCAGACAAGGGTGGTGGAAAGAAGTGTTTGGGTGGATGTTAGTTTCAATATTTGAGTGCTGACCGAGTTTGTTTTGAAGCTTGGCTCAGCTCACGTTCGCCTGTCTCCAAGGAAATCTTCTAGGTCTTTTCTGCAACTGCATGACAAAGATTTGGGCGACAGCATGGACGATCTTGGCGGCAGAGATCCATTGGCCTTTTTCCAGCTTGGCGCCAATCAGCTGCAGATATTGAGAGGTGCAGGGCCTTCTTTGGCACGTGGAATGTAAGACATGAGTGTATATGGTATACTCGGATATGCTCGGATATATGATTTATGTATTATAGAATGTATTCCTCAGGAAGGTGGTAGTTGTGGTAGGTGTCAGCTCAACATGACTCCTGTTGTTCAGTAGATTTCAGTAGCCTAGAAAATCCAAGCTGCAAGCTGAGTGTGAGACTGGGATGAATTGGTTGGGTCATCACCTGCATGTAGATGCACCTTCTCCGAATGCTACGGACTTCCACAAAACAAAGGGTCGCTCCTGGGAATTGGCGAGTTGTGGGCGAACACCTATCCTGAAAGCGCTTGCAATGGAGTGTAGTACAGAAGGGTACATGGTAAGAGTCAGCAGCAAAACAGCAGATACATATTCGAAAGCTATCAACAGCCAAAAGCTCCATATCAATATTTGACAATTGTTGGAACTTTCAACATATCATGTTGGATGATAATGTGTTTGGAGTTGCTGCACAGGATCTTACTGGTATTCCTCCTTTTGCTGCTCCTCGAGCTCAGTCGGAGGTATGTGCGTATGCTCATTGACAATGGACATTTATATGCGGATTTCAAGAAGTTGAAGACACTTTTGAGACTGCTACTGCAAATGCTGGCAAAACGGAGACTTCTCCCCAGACCCCGCTGGTGTTTCAGAAGCATGTGTTGGCATCCGTTTGCAGATTTGCTTTTGTGATCTTTTGTGTTTTTGTTTGTGCA